ATAAGGAAAGGGGATATAGGGGATTGGGGTATAGGGAAGGGGGGATAGGGGATGGGGATAAAGGAAATGGAGGTATAGGAAAAGGGGATATAGGGAACAGGGATATAGGGGATGGGGATATAGGAAATGGAGGTATAGGGAAAGGGGGCATAGGGAAAGGGGATAGGGGATTGGGATATAGGGAATATGGATAGGGAATGGGAATAGAGGGAATGGAGTGGTATAGGGAATGGAGATGTAGGGAATGGAAATATAGGGGATGGAAGTATAGGAATGGGTATATATGGAATGAGGGATAAAGGGGCTGAGGAGCATGGGGGATGGGGGTATAGAGAGTGAGGATGAAGCTATAGGGGATGGGAATATAGGGAATGGGTTACTATAGGGGATGGGAATATAGGGAAGGAGAGGGTATAGGGAATGGGAACATAGGGAATTGGTTGCTATGGGGATAGGGGGTCTACACCCCCACCTGTACCCAGCCACTTCCATAGGGAAACCTCCCAAACCCAACCCTGCTCCTCCCTGGGGCACAGCTGCCCCAACCCCTCTAGCCCCAGTGAGGACACTCAGGCCAGGACTGTTTCTGCATTTATTTTTTATTAACCATTTATTTGTCTGTAATTGCTTTACTCTCACATTACAATCGTGTGTGGGGTTTTTATATAGCTTTTTTTTTTACTTTATTTTTGTAAAATAAATAGAGATAAGTGAACTTTTAAGGTAGGACACTCTCCAGATCCTTAGTTAAACTCCATGATTGAACCTCTGCATCAGATCTCTGGAACACAGCCCACGGCAGCTCAGGCTCCTCCAATCCCATGCCCTGGGCTGGGGCTGTGCTGGAGTCTGGCAGGAACAGCCTGGCAGGAGCAGCAGCTCCCACCACACACCTTCCCCCTGCGCCAGGTACTTTCTGTTCCTCTATCAAGACACTGATATCAGTTAAAAATCTACTATTTTGAAGCTGTGAGTGTTAATGTGTTACAAGTGATCCCAACTCCTCCAGCCCTCGGAGGGGACAGGCACTGCCGGAGCAGTGCGGGAGCAGGTCGGGAAGAGGCACAGCTCTGTTAGACCATAATTAACTTTGGGTAATTTAAAAGTGGGATTTTTAGGTAGTTTTTTTAAGTTTAAAGCCTTTGATTCATCATCCTGTGATGTGGCCCTTGGCCTCCCTGACACGGGGACAGTGCTTGGGGGGAGGACTCAGCGCTTGGCATCGGCTCTGCCGCTGTGCTGTGAGTCCCCTCTCCCAAGCCACTGTGCCAACTGGCATGTGGCACCTTGGGATGGCCACCAGGCCACCCCCATGGCCCACCAGGTCACCTCCAGGGCCCTGGCATGGCCCAGCTGCCTCAGCACACACAGGAACACGGTGACGTGGGGCAGGAGCAGCAGTGACAGGTCAGACGCTCTGTGGGCATGTGGCAGAGGTGACAGCACTGTCAGCACAGGGACGAAAGGTTTCTCACCCTTTCTCTCATCAGAATCCCTTCTCCATGGCTGGCAGTTCACTGGAAGCCTGCAGAGACTGGCTAGAAGGAGAACTGGGAATTTGTGGACCTCATGGGTTGCTGCAGTAATTTCTGCACAGAGCAAGTTCTGCCCTCGGCCAGGTAAATCACAGCTCTGTCCTTTGGCTTTGCCTCCCCCTTCCCACACCATCTCCAGACCCAGCACGGATCCCAAGGGACAGAAACATTCATTATTCAGACATGGAAGGAGTGGAAGACGGAGCAGGCTTTCCCTGGATTGCTGGGACAAAGGTGCTTTGCTCGAAGTAGGTGACCTGCTGTGTTCCCCCTCCTCAGTGATTCTCTTGTGCTCAGCCCAGGGTGGTTCCATGCCCAGGGTGGTTCCATGCCCAGCTCCACAGGGACAGATAAGCCACAGCTGTGGCCAAAACTTGTGTGCAAGTGTCCAGATCCTGACCACCACCTCGGTGAACATCAGACGTGGGAGCACAGGACAGCCCATGGATTGGCCCTGGAGCCTCCCCCGCTGGCTGGGCAGAGCTCCAGGGGACGAGACGTGTTTGTGGAGGTCCCTGTGGGCAGAAGGACAGTGGCAGCAGGAGGGACAGTGCCTGAGGTGCCCCAGAGTCCCCACCAGCACCGTGGGCTTGGGCGGAACATGGTGACACAAGTGACTTGCTCCAGGCTGGTTGGGACGTTGGAGATCTTCGTTCTCGTTCTTCCCTCTTCTTCCTCATGTGCAGCTTTAGGGTGTGGAGCATCCTCCCCATGCTCTGGCCATCTCCTCCAGTCCCTTCCCTCAGGATCCCTGACTCCCTGGGCCATCAGGTCACCCTCTGTCCTTGCTTCCACTGGAGAGGATGCTGCAGGGAGGGAGGAGGAGGTTCATGCAGAGGAGACACTTCCCTGCCTCCCTTGCCCCACTCAGCAGTGCAGGAGCAGGTACATCCCATGCAGATGGACAGCTCAGGCCTCGCTGCCCTGTTCCAGGAATTCTGTTTGGCACAGGGTTGGCAGCAGCTGAAGGGTCCTGTGGAGCTGTAGGTGAGTCCTGACTCAGTCCTTGAAGCAACCTACGCTCCACAAAACATGGAACAAAGACTACAACAAGACCCTTCTCAAGGGTGTTGCCTCATCCAAGTCCTCCCAAGCTCAGGAGCTGTGTTTCTGACAGAGAAGCCAACCACTGGAAACAAAAATAACTGTTCCTTTTCTGTAGCTTTTAGAGGATATAGCTGGAAAACAAAACAAAACAGAAACAAAACCAGGAGATTGTCTCTTCCCCTCGTCAAACCCATCAGTAGCTAAGTCAGAAGAACAACGTTCAAGTTATGGGGTGCAGCAGCAGCAGCCAACACAAAACATTCAAGTCGATGATTTGGCTATGTACAGGGGAGGGGCAGCCCTGCCCGCCGGGACTCCGGGCGCTCCCGCAGCGCTATCTGATCCTCTTCTCCACCGAGTACACCGAGATGTAGTAGTCATTGCTCCCGACCGCCAGGTGAGGCTGTGGGGAGAGGAACAGGGTAAGTCATGGAATCACAGAGTCACCGAGGCTGGAAAGAACACTGAGACCATTGAGTCCAACCTGTGACCCATCACCACTTGGCAACCAGACCAGAGCACTGAGTGCCATGTCCAGACGTTCCTTGGACACCTCCAGGGATTTTGACTCCACCACCTCCCTGGGCAGCACATTCCAATGCCTGACAGTCCTTTTCATGGAGAAATTCCTCCTGATGTCCAACCTGAACCTCCCCTAACACAGCTTGAGGCTGTTTGCCCTGTCCCTTGTTCCCTGGGAGCAGAGTCTGACCCCACCTGGCTGCACCTCCTGGCAGGGAGTTCTAGGAGTGAGAAGGTCCCTCCTCTCCTCCAGGCTGAGCCCCCCCAGCTCCTTCCCATGTGACTGACCCTCCAAAGGTCCATGTGTGGAGCAGTAATGAGGCACAGGGGACGGTGACATTTTGCAGGGACACACACTCCTCTGCTCCACAGCCCCAAGTGCGTCTACTGTGACGCACTCCTGCCAGCACCCACACTCCCTGCGAGTTATAGGCCCATTCCAGCCAGAGGGAAAAATTATGGGGACTATTAGTTGCCAACTGCCAACATAATTTCTCTAAACGACTGCAAATTTGCTCGTTAGGAGCGGCTGTCTGGGCTGGGAATGAGCATTCCCCGCAGTGAGGGGGCAGGAATGGCCCTGGCTGGGGAGCCCCGGGCTGGACAGGGTGTGTGTAAAGAGCAAACCCATTTAAGGTCATTTTACCCACTCCTTCCTCCAGCCCCAACTGCAGGGCAGCCCAATCCCTCCCAGCTTCCTGCACAGAGGCTTTTCAGAGCTGACATAAGCTTTCCTTTGCCCTTCTGTCCTCAGGATGTCAAACACATCCCCCAGGCAAGAAAACCACCTTCCCCCTCCTGCCCTGCTCATGCCAAACCCTCCCAGGGTTGCACAGCTTCTCCCTCCCCTCCTCCAAGCTCCTAATCCTTCCCACTTCCCACTACATATTCAATATCTGTGTGCTGATCTGCAGGTTTCTCAAACAACTCTTTTAACTCCCTCCTGTTTCCCATCCATTCATGTTGTTTTCTCAGGTTTTCCATCTCCATCACTTATCCTCATCCCTGGGTGACAAAGTCCATGCAGATGGACACCTGTCTCCTAATTGGGCAGCAAGCAGGTTCTGTCTAACAGCTCCTGCAGAGCCCCTCAGCTGTGACCTGCTCCAAGCTCTGCCTTTGCTCTGATTCATGCCTCTATCAGCTCAGCCCTTTAATTTCTGCAGTTCTCCCGTTTTCCTGACGTGCAGGTTGTTACGTCAGGAGCTGTGAGAGCAGCCCCAGAGACCCAGGGTGGGTGAGATACGTCTGCAGAGCACAGGCAGGGGATAAATAAACACACACAACCTGGAAGTGTGAGCCTGCACCTCTCCAGTCAGCCCTGGGCAAGTCACCTCAGATAATCCCTGTGGCACTCAGCTCGACTCAGCCTGCAGCTGGGAGAGATGGGAACAGTACAGCAGTCCAAGGGCTCAGGTGTTGGGATCCTGTTCTAGCTGTAGGTGCCCATGCTGGACCAGCAGCACCAGTGGCACCATCAGTGTGGTGTCTGGAACAGCCCAGAGGACTGGGGAGCTGCACTGGGAGCACCAGGCTGAGGCAGCACCTCCCACAATGGGGGTCTCTGTGCCATTCCCTCTTCCCCCATGAACACTGAGACATGCCCACCCCAGTGCAAGCAGAGACACAGACCCAGTGAGGATGGAAGGCCAGGCAGCTGATGGCTCCCACTCTTTGTCCCATAAACCCATCGTAGTACTTGATGTTATTGATCAGCTCCCCGTTCCCGTTGTAGATCGCCGTGAACTGATTCATGGAGCCACTGGAAGGGAATGGGAAGAACACAGTGTCACTGGGAATGCTGTGAAGGGACAACACTGCTGCCTGCAGCACAGCTGTGTGTCAGATCAGTGTGCAGCAAGGTCTGTAAGTGGGACACCATTGACTGGAACCACAGGGACCTGTGGTTACCTGAGACAGGAACACATGGAGAGCTGATGCCCTCACACACACACACTGAGTGCATCTCCAACAAGCCCCAGGCCATGTGGCTGTGGAGCAGTTGCTGGACCCCACTCAGAGCCCAAAATACAGATCCTGACTCTGATCAGGGATCCAATATTGGAGTCAACTCACAGTAAAACCAACAACGCCCCAAGAATTATGTCTGTGGGGACAAATCGTCCTCTCCAGGGATCACAGAATCATGGAATCCCAGAATGGCTTGGGTTGGAAAGGACCTTAAAAATCATCCAGTCCCCCCCCCTGCCATGGGCAGTGACACCTTCTACTAGCCCAGGTTGCTCCAAGCCCCATCCGACCTGACCTAGAACACTCCTAGGGATGGAGCAGCCACAGCTGTTGTAGGCAACCCATGCCAGTGCCTCAGCACCCTCACAGGGAGGAATTATTTCCCAATATCCCATCTATCCTTGCCTGTTGGCAGTGTGAAGGCATTCTCTGTGTCCTGTCCCTCCAGACCCTTATAAATAGCCTCTCTCCATCTCTCCTGTAGTTCCTTCAGGTACTGGAAGGCCACAGTTAGGTTACCCTGGAGCTTCTAATCTCCATCTGAACAACCCCAACTCTCTCAGCCTTTCCCCACAGCAGAACTACTCCATCCCTCTAATCATCTTGGTGCCTCCTCTGTACTCACTCCAACAGCTCTGTGTCCTCCCCGTGCTGGGGATGCAGGAGCTGGAAGCAGAACTTACCAGGCAAAGAGGTTGGCCTGGGGGTGGATGTCAAGGGCTGTGAGCCCCTTGACAATCTGCAGGACCTTCATGGACTCAGGCATCCGCGGGTCGAAGAACCGCACGTCGCCGTTGACGCTGCCGACACAGGAGAGCCATACAGTCAGGCTGTGACCAAACCAGGTCCCAAAGCCCAGGAAACACAGCCAAACACCTCCATGGGACATTAGGACACAGAAGACACAAGCCCTTCCCAACTGAGGTTTGTCCCATCCGTAGCATGTTCAGGGCTGAGCATCAGCTGTGCTGCTGCCCTTGGGAGTGATCCTGCACTGCTGATCCCTCACTGCCTTTACTGCTCACAGGTCAGTGTGCCTTCCCTGTTCTGTCACACCCAACACACCTGAATTCATGTCAGCCCCGAGTTCCAGCTGCTGTGCACAGCATGAATTGCATCAGAAACCCCACAGCAGATGGGACCTGCTGTGTCATTTGTTCCTCCCAATGTCCAGACACAGACACACGAGTCCTTGCTGGCAAAGGGCTGTGACCAGGTGTGACAGACCCTGGGGATGCTCAGGCCAGGTGACAGCCCAGGGATGGCTTTATCAGGGGGAAGGAACAGCAGCAGTGACAAGGTGCTGTGCCTGGTAGATCGAGTACCTTTCAAACACAAACAATGTCTGTTTGTTAAGTAATCTCTGAAACACATCAGCAGAATCCTGGCTATGAGATTCCAAGAGGGCACATCCCTCTCTGAGACTCAAAAAATGGTTCTGAATGTACTGGGAGACCCGGTAAGAGCTTTAGCAGGGAAGTGAAGTCCTGTGGAGAGGGATGACATGAGAAACACATCCCAGCTGGACAACAATGGGCAACAAGAAGTCACAGCTGAACCCAAAATCACATGGGGAACCAGCAACAGGGAGCTGTAGGATCTGACTGTGTGTCAGACTGTGTCCCCCAAACCTCTGTCCTGGGCCAGGGAGAATGTTCTGCTGAGGTTCAGAGCACTGTTCCACCAGCAGTAACACCCCTGGGGTTCTCAGGGAATAGTTACACCAGGATCTCACTATGTCCTAACATTTGGATCTTGCTGTCAGCTGAAGAAGAGGGAACTGGGAGGAACTGAAGAGAGTGAACTGGGAGGAACTGAAAGCAAGGTGGCTCATCACCACAGCCCAAGTTCCTCCCTCTAGGAAGAGACCACACCTGTCCTTTGAAGCAGAACATCTCACACCTCTCCAGCCCTGAGAGCAGCCCAATTCTGAGCACTGAGGAGAGGGGACAGCCCATCCCTCAGCCTGGGCTGGCCAGGCACAGGGACCTGACCCCTAGGGCTGCTGAAGGAGCTTACAGAAAGGAAGATTAAAAACTCTAATATGGGAGCAGGACAAATCTGCAGCTGCATCACATAATCCCCTCCCTGAAAATCTTAATACATTTTTGCTGGCCCTTCCGCCACCTCAGGAATGTTCTGAATCCCAGAAAATTATGTTTTGTTTCCATTTTGTAATCAAGAAAAAGAGCCTCTTTGTGTGCAAACAGTGGCTTTGTGACAATAAATTACACTCTGTTGTTCTTTAATGGCCAAATCAGTATCTGCTGCTCTCGCCGCAGCGTTTAGCAGGAGGCAGAGATGGATTTGTGTGCAGGGAATTGCCAGGCACACAGTAATCCTGCCCAGCAATATGCCTGACAGATGCAGCAGCAACCCTCCTGCTCGTGTTCTCTCCCAAATGACCCCATGGGGACGGTAGCACTCAGGACCCATCACCACCAGATACTCTGTGCCTCCAGCTCCGGCTCCACTCCCTTCCTCCCTCACACACCTTGTGATGCTCATTCCAGTGTCGTGTTTGCTCCCAGACTACACCAACAGCCTCCCAGGGAAAGCACCACATCTCTTTTTGTCACTGAGTTTGGAACTGGAGTTAATTACTCAAGCTAAAGAGCTTTACCCTCTCAGATCCTGGAGTACCAGAGTTAGAATTGAAAGGGAAAAACAAAGTGTGTTTAAGGGAGAACAGCTCAAAGGGTAAAATCTCCTGTACCTGACGCTCATGATGTTGCCCTCAGGATGCTTCTGCAAGTAAGCCTTGACCACCCAGGCTGTGTGCTCCCTGTAGGTCATAACTCGGCTGGGGAACAAGGAGAGACATGTGAGGAGGAGGAGGAGCAGGAGTGAGGATCCCACGAGCCCAGTAAGGACAAGAGTTACCATTCACTGAGAGCCATTCTCCTGTCAAACACGCGGATGGATCCATCCCCCAACCCTGCCACGATCAGGGAGCGGTGGGAGTCGCAGGACAGGCTGGTGACACAGCTGTCAGCTCCAGTGGGGATGTCCTGGGGAGAGAGCACACACTGACATCACCAGTCCCTGCAGCCAAGGGCCTGAACTATCCCTGGAGGTGTTCCAGGCCAGGCTGGATGGGGCTTGGAACAACCTGGGCTAGTGGAAGTTGCCCCTGCCCATGGCAGGGGTTTGGACTCTTGTTCAGGGACCCCTTCCACTAGCCCAGGTTGCTCCAAGCCCCGTCCAACCTGGCCTGGAACACTTCCAGGGATGAGGCAGCCACACTTCTCTGTTCAACCTGTGCAGGATGCCTGTTGGAGCCGCAGGAGCTCATTTCACACTCCAGTCCTATTTTTCCCTCTGTGCAGATTCACCTTTGGAGCTGAGCTGGGAGAGGCACCAGCCCTGGGGCTGCTCCAGCCTCTGCCCACCCCCAGCTCCTGTCTTTGAAGCAGCAACACTCAGCAGAAGTGCAAATGAAGCACTTGTTCCTGCAGCTCCAGCCCAAGTGCTTCCAGAGGTGTGGGTTTTTGTAGTTCAAAGAGGGAAGGCCCCTTTATCCCCCTGGAATGTTCCTGCTCTTTGTGCTGATTCTCACTTTCCCTGTGTTACTGAGTCAGGAAATTCCAATCACTTCAGTTCCAACACACCCAATCTTGGTGATTAAGAAGAGAAACAACATGTTTTTAGATACTTTCAGTGCAATCATTAATCATCATCATTTAAAAGATTTTCGCCTCCTGAATTTTGCTGCTCCTTAATTTGCATAGAAAAAAATAATATGTGAAAGTAATTAAGATTAACAGAGGCTTAATTATCCTGCGTGGAGGGGTCAGAGTGTCGCAATTAATGCTCATCCAAGGGTAATTAATCTTGAGAAGCTTTGAAAACTCAGCTTCCTTTCCATTCCAGCATGGTGCCTCTGTCCTCACCCACAGCTGCTCCTCCTTGGGATTGCTGAGGAACTTCCATGTGATTAGGGTTGACAGGAACTCTGGCAGTGCCTTCCCTGAGACATGGCACAGTCATGTGTGACTGGAACTGCCCTCTTGGTGCCTCCTGGCAGGGGTGAGGGGTGAACAGCTCAGGTGCTGAGACTGAGCAGGGATGTAAGTGCTTTCCACATGGACACAGTTTTCCTGGACACAGACCTTTGGCTGGGAGGCACTGGAGCAGTGCTGGCTCTGTCACCTGCTCTGTGTCTCAGTGGAGCAGAGGTGGAGCAGGATGTCCAAATGCTCCACCACCAACCCAACTCCCCCCTGAGTATCCTGACAAATCATAGAATCATGGAATGGTTTGAGTTGGGAGGGGCTTTAAAGCTCATCTTGTTCCCTGCCATGGGTAGGGACACCTTCCACTAGCACAGGTTGTTCCAAGCCCCATCTAACTTGGCCTGGAACACTCCCAGGGATGGGATAGTCACAACTGCTCTGGGCAACCTGTTTACAGACTTTTACACTATTTCAATTACACGCTAATAGGAAACCAAATCTGCATCCCACTGCTTTCCCCTGGATCCCAGTGCCTGCTTCTGGATCCCAGTGTCTGCCTCTGGCTTCCACAGCCTCACCTTCCCCCAGCACTGCTGCCCACCCAGAACAACAGCAGCAGCTTCCAAGAAAGCCCTGAAACACTCCCTGAGTGTGTGTGTGGTTTTATGGATCTTGGCACGTGACCCTGGACAGGGAAGCAGGAGCTCCAGGACCTGTCAGCTCCCCACAGATGAGTCTCAGGTGCTCTGGGAGGGAAAAGGTGACTAGGACAGACATGCAGGTGTTACCTGGACTTTCATTTCCCGATCCGTGTCCCAGATCCGGATTATCCTCACGTCTCCCGAGGTCATCAGGAGCCCAGTTTCTTGTTCCCAGTCAACCACCATCCCTGCTCCTAGGGCAGAACACAGGCAGGGGTGAAAATCAGCATCAGAGGGGCAGAGCATCAGCTGATTCAGCTCTCCTGACCCTGTGCTACAGAAACTGCCATTGCTGGAGGACATGTAAAATTACACACACACATCCTCCAGGAATCCAGGAAGAGTGACAAGGAATCTTCTCTCCCCAAAGCACCTGCTCAGAGACACACTGTGTGAGCTCATGGGCCTTGCTGGGATGGAATTCCTGGAGAAGGGTGAGTGCATGTCACCTCCCTTCCCAGCAGGAGGACTCTCATGCCCCAAGGCCATGGAGGAGCTGTGCACAGGGACCAGAAAAAACCAGATGTGGGACTGGAGAAATCACTGGCAATGAACCCCATGATTCAGGAGGAATCTCCAAGGAACAATCCTTCCACATTTAATTGAAATGAACTTTGCACTCGTGCCACCTCCACAGCTCAGGAATGTCCTGCTCAGAGCAGAGCCCATACCAACTATCCTTTGCTTTTCATGCTGCAAAGGCTGAGCAACCACAAATCTATGGGTTTTCTGGGGAGACTCCATTTCACCCATTAAAAACACAAACAAAATCTCTTTGGAGCACTATAGGAGGGAATCAGAGAGGAACTCCAGGTCTGGTGTCTGTTTCCAGCCCCTCAGGCAGGGCAGAGGCAGCAGCAGCAGCATCCCTGCCTCACACAGCAGCTTCTCTGCCCTGCAGAGCAGCCTCCCTGCCTCCCAGAGCAGTTGTTCACCCTCTCCTCCGTGCCAGAGCAAGTCTGTGGTGCTGAGCAGTGTTTCATAACCACCCAGAACAGGAGTGAGAAACCCTCTGCAATGCATCAGGACTGCAGCTCCTGCCCCGAGCCACTCGCAGTCGCCTTTAGCACCATCCCTGTCTCCACTCCACAACCTGCTTGGCCAGGAGGTACAAATGTGAATTGGTCTGGATTTACTGCCAGGAATTAGCCCCAGCAGGATACTTAAGCCTGACCCAACGTGCTCTTTGTCACCAAAGGGGCACAAATACCTTTTACCAGAACAACCACCTTTACAGAGCACAAAGAAAACAACAGACATAGCCTATAAACGCCGAGTTTTCTTCAAAGATGATGAAATGACCTTGTTTTACACAGCTCCAGGTAAAACATTTTGCCCCTCTCCCCTTTCTAAGCATCACATCCGAGCTGACTGCTGATCTTGCTGACGTTTATTGACAGCCCATCACCTTCCTGCAGGAAACTCGGGACTCTGGGCTGAGCTGGGAGCTTGGATCTTTATCTTCACTCCAATGGATTGTTCCCTCAGCTTGCCTGGCAGCTCGCAGGGCTGGAGAGCTGAGGCACACAAGCAGGCAGTGATTGAGATGATAAACATCACTGAAGTGTTTGCATTTGTCATCTCGTTTATGGCCCATGTGACAAGACAAACCTGGCAGCAGAGATGGATCTGCCCATTACCATCCCTGATGGAGTTCAGCAGTCAAAGTGCTCCGAGGCAGCTTTACAGCTCCCAGTTTTCCAGTTAGGTTTCCCAGTTTAAGACAATGTTTTTCTGTCTGATCAGCACCAAGTCCCTGTCCAGCTGTGGTTTCAGGGGCTGTTCTGTGGATGGGGACAGCGACAGAGAATTTGGGGTGAGGACTTGATGCTTTGGGTGCTTGTTTTGGTGTCTGTGTCAGGGGTTTAAGCACTGAGAACAGTCAGCAATGCATCTAGAAGGGCAGGGAAAGTGACACTGAGGGAAGAGGCTCCAGAGGGGTTGCAGAGATTCCCACATGAAAACCTGATGGAAAGCACAAGGGCTCATGCTGAACTAGGTGCTGACAGAGAGTCCAGTGGGTGGAAAGAAGGGAGGCAGATGATCATGGAATCATGGAATGGTTTGGGTTGGAACCTTATAAAACACCCAGTTCCGTGCCCTGCCATGGACAGAGACACCTTGCACTAGACCAGGTTGCTCCAAGCCCTGTCCAGCCTGCCTTGAAACACTTCCAGGGATGATGCTGGTGTTCCATGATGGTCTTCCAAGCAGTCAGTGCAGTTTCTGCCTTTCTTATCAAAACTTAAATAGTCTAGGTTGGTGATAACTGTTGCTCCCTGAAGAGAGAAGGACAATTTTGATCATCCCATAACCAGGGATCACCCCAGAGGTGGTGGGTCCTGGCTGCAGAGGTGCTTGTGCCACACACCAGCTCCTGCTGCACCCCATGACCAGGGTGAGCCCAGGATGTACTTGGGAATGCTGAAGCAGAATTCCCACCTGTCTGAAGAGAAGAAAGGCCTTTGTACACAGATTGAAGTTGTCTGGAAGTGTGTAAGGGGGAAGAAAAGCTTCCTCTGACTGTGAAATGTTCCACCCAGAGCTGACACTCACAGCATGGAATGAGACAGAAATAGCTGAACTATTTCTATGTACGAGCAAACGTTTTCATGGTAGAGATGATATAGGATTGGCTCCTATTTCCATGCTAAATTCCTAGTGTTTTGGGATGGGAAGCAAATGTGGGACTTAATCCTAATGATCATTTCCTTTTTAATTAGCAGAGGTCCTTGTCCAGGATGCTACGACTGAGACTGCAGCTCCCCTGCCGTGTCCTGGCTCACGGGTTTGGCACCCAAGCTGCTGCCCAGCCTCGTCCTGGCACAAAGGTGATGCTCTGTGCACCTGTGTGAGCCCACAGTCAGGCTCTGCCCCCCATGCCACCTCGGAGTGAACAGGGACAGGGTTGGGACAGCACCTGTCACAGCCAGTGGTGGATCCCTGGTGCTCCCAGAATCCAGGAGCTGCCTGCAGTGAAGTCCCAGCTCTGCACTGCTGCAGAGCATCAGGAGTTAAGGTCACAGTTTTCCTCTAAGGAATATTCTGTTCTTAGATAATGAGTAACAAATCCTCCAGGGCTCAGGAAAAGGAATTTTTAAAGGTTTGTGGTTGGTTGTTGTTGGTTTTAGGTTTGTTTTTAGCCTTTTAGCACTAACACTTGCAGTTCTGTATGACGTGAGTTTGTGCACGCCAAGAGCTGTTCCTGAAGCTGTGAATTCCCATGGCTGCTCCCTCAGGATTCCCCCTGAGCAATTTGTGTGGATGGGACAGTTCCCTGTGAAAATTTCAGTAGCTAACACTGCTGAAGCAGCTGCATTCCCAGAGCCTACGCTCATGTGTAACGTCACTGGAGCACAGCCAGCCTGGCCCCAGCACTTCAATGGAATGGGAATACCTACACAGAACACAGTATAAAAGCATCTTGGATCCTGAGTGATGATTTTTACTCACAGGCCCTCCTGGCTGAGCAGCGAAGCACATCCCTGCTTTAATTTCCAGGAAGCAGTGGGAGGGTTGGATGACCTCACTGCTCATTAATTTCTACAACATCCTCTCAAGAAGTGTCACTCTGTTCCTGCCAAGGCTCTGTGCAGGGAGGGACAGCAGGAGCTGGGGTGCTGAGAATCCAATTAAAACAACACAAACCCCTGGAGCTGCAATTTCTCCAGTGATTTTATTGCCACAAAATAGCCTCACCAGAAATATGGAGCTTCTCCCAAACTTTTTACTCCTCAAGGGCAAGACAGCAGTCCCTGTGGAGGTGCAGGAAGTCTCACTGCTGCCCTCTCTGCCCCTGGCTCTCCAGGATGAGCCTGCGTGAGTTGGATCCCTTGATCAGCTCCTGCAGGCTGGAGCTGTCTCCCTGCCCAGGCTCCTTGGTGCAGCCCTGAGTCCAGCAGCTCCCCAGGAACTTCCCTTTCAATAACCTGCTGGACTTCCAAGCAGGCTCTGAGACAACCTCTCCCATCTGGATCACTGTCTGCCTGCCAGGAGAGCCAGCAGCATCCACAGCAGAGCAGAGCCCCACAGGGCAAGGTGCTGTGGTGCTGCAGAGCAGGTATTTGACCTTCCACTGGCCCAGGTTGCTCCAAACCCCATCCAACCTGGCCTGGAACACTCTCTGGGATGAGGCAATATCTAACCATTGCTGATGTATTTTGCTGTCAGGCAAAGAGCTAATTCCATGCATTTTTCTGAGATCTTCAGTAGGAGAGGAGGAATCCTTGTGCTGCATTTGTCACAAGGAGAGCAGAAGGTGCTGGACAAGGCTTTTATCGATCTGCAGCTCTCTGTGTGCCAGGGACAGGGATCACTGGCCATCAGTGGTATTGATCCACACCAAAGCCGCTGGAATTCCCTCCAACTGCTCCACACCAGTTCACTGAGCAAGGAATTCCCTGCAGCCAAGCCCTGCTAATTTTAGCCTTTGCTGGTGGATTTGGGAGTGAGTGCAGAGCGAGGCACTAACAGCCACATCAGCTCTGCTCATCCCTGCCCCATCCCTCGGCTCCAAGAGCAGAGAGGGATTTGCTAAACTGGAGCTAACGAGCTCTGAATCACCCCCTGCCCTCAGCCTCAGCCCATTCATCACTGCCACACAGCAGCTCTTAGCAGGCAGCAAACATTAATAACTGATGAGCAGCCACGGACACACACACCCCTGGGTGCCCTGACATATCAGGCAGCTGTTCCCTGAGCCCTTGGGGGCAGGAGGAGATCAGGATCCAGAGCCACACAGACCCTGCACAGCCCTGGCCTCTGTAGATGGAGGGAGACTGGGGAGTTCCTTCACCTTCCCTCCACAGGACAGAGCAGAGTTTGTGACATTTGTTAGAATCATGGAATAGTTTGGGTTGAAAGGACCTTAAAGCCCATCTCAACCCATCCCCTCCCATAGGCAGGGACACCTTCCACTAGCCCAGGTTGCTCCATGCCCATCCAACCTGTCCTGGAACACTCCCCGGGATGGGGCAGCCACAGCTGCTCTGGGCAACCTGTGCCAGTGCCTCAACACTCTCACAGAGAGGATTTTTTCTGTAGATCTAAGCTAAATTTCCCCTTTCCTTTTTGGCATATCTGTGCCAAAAGTCTACTCTTCTGAGGCACCTGGGAACAATTCATCAGCATCTCCCTTCCACATGATCTTTCCAGCCAAAGTGTGTTCTGAATAAACCCCAGTAAAACCCATATTAGCTCTATGGTGATTCCCATTTGGAACCTGTCACTCAAACCCATGAGTCCAGGGATGCCTTGAAACCTTCCTGGAAAAGAGAGACTCATACATCCCTCCCACACTTCCTCTGGCTGCAGGGAGCTCCAAGAGACATGAAGATTCCCATCTCCCAGGGAGCACAGACCCATCCCTCACAGCTGTCACAGACACAAGGCAAGGGATGGGAGAGGTGGAAGCAAAGCTTTCCAGGAACCACGGGGACCCAGAGCACTCATTCAAACCGTGTCAAAAACCCA